GACAATATACATAACGAGCACGTGCACTGTGTAGCGTGCCTGGACAAACTCAGGTGGCCCAAACATATGTTTTCCATGCCTGTTACCGACCCCAAAACATGCCTTGTTTCTTCAGGGAAATTTATATTTAACAGTAACTAGCAAAAGCCCTGACAATAAAACAACGCTTAGTCACCAATGTGAGTTCTGAACTGAATATGAAACCCTTCATTTTGCCCTAGCTCATTTCCTAAGTACATGTAGACTGGAATACGAATTGATGAGCTAGTAGTTATATAAACAGTCGAAGAGTTATCTCAGAGACTCGATTACATCATTGTGCAGACAGAAGACGTAGCTCCAACACTGCAGGTGCGGCCTGTGTCAACATCAAGGTGTCACGCCACAAGACTGTTATGATGTTCACATTGGTGTTAAACCTGAATTCATTCTTGTGTCTCACTAACAATTACCTTCAGTCGCCTGTTCTCCTCCTTCACCTTCCTAATGTCCTCCTTAGCCTGGCGAACCTCGACCGTTGCCTGTTCAACCTCCTCCATTGCCTGGCGGTTCTCCCCCTTGAGTCGCCGGTTCGCCTCCCTGAGTCGCCGGTTCTCCTCCATTGCCTGCCGGTTCTCTTCCCTGAGTCGCCGGTTCTCCTCGCGGAGCTGGCGGAGCTCGGTCTCGACAAGCTGCCACACAACAAATGTAAGATGTCAGCCTATTGCAGTTATAATGCTTCACCTATGTATTCAAGGCGTATGTACATAGGAATAAGTGAGTGAATGAATGTACATTAAAATAACTAGAATATCACAGACTGATATGTAAAACTAGCACAGGAGTAAGACGGAGTAGGCATGTATAAAACTAGTTGAAGCAGACATATTAAACTACAACTATTTACTATTTACTCACATTCATTGGTGTCGCCCCCCGACGGCCTGGCACTGCTGATCGCCTCCGTGCTGCCGGTGTCGTCGTCATCGGGGTGGCGAATGGCGTCGAAGAGGTCGACGACATGCTGGATGTCTGGTCCGCATGCTGTTCGGACGCTTGGGGTGCCTGGGAGGTGCCCTGGTTCGCCGGAGGTGCCTGGGAGGTGCCCTGGGTCGCCGGAGGTGCCTGGGAGGTGCCCTGGGACGCTTGAGGTGCCTGGGAGGTGGCCTGGGAGGTGCCCTGGGTCGCCGGAGGTGCCTGGGAGGTGCCCTGGGTCGCCGGAGGTGCCTGGGGTCCGGTCTGAGAGACCTGCGGGGCCAATCCGAGGGAATTGAAAAAAGAGAACATGATGAACAAATCAGTGGAAATAAGCGGTAGTAGTATAGAAGTATGGAGGTGTGCAGAGATCGTTAAACGAGATGCGCGATGCGACTGTGGAAGTATCCATGTTTTATACTCCAACCCGAAGGAGCATCCATTTGATTTCAAGGGGTTGGGGTTGGGGTGGTTCGGGTGGTGGAGGAGCTTGATTAAGGTTTGAGATTAGTTGATTTTACACAGACATTTGACTCCTCGATAATACAATACCCACTTTCTGTAAGAAAAAGGCATATAACTGATTTAAATACAGCAGGGGATTGAGTCTCATTTTAGAAAATACCCCCCCCCCCCCCCCCCCCCCCCCCCTCTTCCCCCTCCCCGACAATAAGATGGTTGCTCCCACAGTCAAACCAGCAAGCACGTGCCCAGGGACTATTGGGGTGTTCAGTGACAAGCAACTGAAAGCGTGTACGTTGATTTATTCTCGTGAAGCTCAAGCATACAGCCATGTCGCAACCGCCTTGAAACAATGGGGAGACGTCACCAACCTCCCGGCCTATCTGACAATGTTACGCAACGAAGCTCTGGATGGACATGTCGAACGTGCTCTACTCGAGTGACAATCCTTGCACATTTCATGGGACATCAGCCAGACAATGGAAATCAACATCGTGTAAAACATCGCACACACAACATTTTACCAATAATATTATTTAATTTATAAGTTGATCATTCTTGATCATTATCCATGTTTCAACGTCCATTGTCCACACACTATCGCTGCAATATTCAGTCAGAATTGTTAGAATAGTTGTACTTTTCAAGCTTTTCTCATTGGCATGCATGTCATATAAGTAAACTTTATCATCACATTACGGATTTCATTAAAGCACATTTTCAGAAATAACCTGATTGATACAAACTTCTTTATTTGATTTGACAGGGATCCTTACAAGCAACCACTTTAACTTGCAGGGGGGGGGGGGGGGGGGGGGGGGGGGGGGGGGGGGGGGGGGGGGGGGTGGGGGGGATCGGTGTATGTGTGTGTGTGGGTAACCTATGGGATAAAGCATTCGCTCGGCCAGCCGAAGACCGGTTCCATTCTCATATTGGTGGACCGCCTCCGTGGTCTAGTGGTAGAGCGTCTGTCCGGAGGGCGGAAGGTCGTGGGTTCGATCCCAGGCGGGGTCATACCAAAAGGCGTTACAAGATGGTACTTGTTGTTACCTTGTCTGGCGCTCAGCATTAAGGTTGTTGGTTGGTTGGTTTGTTGTTTTACGCCGCACTCAGCAATATTCCAGCTATATGACGGCGGTCTGTAAATATCGAGTCTGGACCAGACAATCCAGTACTAGTGATTAATGTTATGAGCATCGATCCACGCCATTGGGATTGATGACATGCATCAACCAAGTCAGCGAGCCTGACCACCCGATCCCGTTAGTCGCCGTTTACGACAACCATAGTCACCTTTTACGGTAAGTATGGGTTGCTGAAGACCTATTCTACCCCGGAATCTTCATGGGCTTCAGCATTAAGGGGCTAAAACAGGGACTGGCCGTCTCTGAGTCAATACACTGTGTCTGAGTGTGGTATTCATGTTAAACGGAGGCATGGTAGCTCAGTAGGCTAGCACTATAAATTCGGCCTCAGTCCGGACTAACTAGTAGGCACGTCGCTATATGAGGACGACCCCATTTCACCTCACTTCCTCTTTATTTGTTTATTTTTAATACAATAACTTTTGAAAATATCGTTTGTGAGTATAGTTGGTTGGTTGGTTTGTTGTTTAACGCCCGCACTCAGCAATATTCCAGTTATATGACGGCGGTCTGTAAAAAAATCGAGTCTGGACCAGACAATGCAGTGATTGATATCATGAGCATCGATCCAGGAAATTGGGATCGATGACATGCATCAACCAAGTCAGCGAGCCTGACCACCTGATCCCGTTAGTCGCCTTTTACGACAAGCATAGGCGCCTTTCAGGGCGAACATGGGTTGCTGAAGACCTATTCTACCCCGGATCTTCACGGGTCCTGTGAGTATAGAGCCTTATCTTTTGACATATATTGAGAGATCTACCGCATGAATGTTACCACGAACTGTTCATAATTAAATGTCACAACATACATGTGTTTCACATTTACATTTGTGTTGTGTATAGAGAATAGCGTAATGGGTCGTTTAGCGTTATATAATTCAACATGTGAGTGAGTGAGTGGGTGAGTGAGTGAGTATGGTTTTACGCCGCTTTTAGCAATATTCCAGCAATATCATGGCGGGGGACACCAGAAATGGGCTTCACACATTGTACCCATGTCGGGAATCGTACCCGGGTCTTCGGCGTGACGAGCGAACGCTTTAACCACTAGGCTACCCGACCGCCCCTAATCCAACATGTGGCACACACACTGTTATCCTGTGTAATTCATACGTTTCTGTGTTTAGGAAATTTTCACGTAAGTCTCCCACTTTCATTGTGGACTGTCAGTAATCTGAACAGTCAAACCAGCTGCTGATAGAATGATGAACTACTACCGTCGCTACTACTACTACTACTACACCACCGCCACAACGACGACGTCCACCACCACTACTATTACTACTACAACAACCAGTATCATCACTACTACTACATCATCTGCCTCTACTACCCACCCGTGAAGATCCGGGGTGGAATAGGTCTTTAGCAACCCATGCTTGCCGTAAAAGGTGACTATGCTTGTCGTAAGAGATTTAACGTCGCTTTTAAGATTACAAAACTACTTAAATACCCACAACCTAAATGCTCTAAAACTAAACACAGCACCAAACAACTCTTTCATTCCCCAAATCGACATATCTCTCTCCACCAAACCAAATAAAGAAACCGACTCATTAATTGGGTTCCAGGCTATAAAAAACAAAAACACAAAAAAGGTCCAAAACTATTATACTTCACATACTTAAGAACTCCGTAAACTAGACAAAGACATTGGAATAGTTTGGTAACGAACATGCCGACAAAGCAGCTAAATCAGCACTTAAATTGGAAGAAGTAAGCATCAACATTCCAATGTATGAAAACGAAATTAAAAAAACTACTGCATCAAAATGCAAACTAATATACATGCTACAAAAGCCACTCCAAAAAAAACCAAAATCTATCATAAAACCAAAAGAATCGACAAGGCAATAATCAAATTACAAACAGGTCACACTAAAGTACTGTCGGAAATGCTAGAAAACTGCTTTTCTGGCTTCATGTTATAAATACGAGCCAGAGGACTATAAAAAGAGCATATATCAAAATAACATTTGTGGGTATTGATTTACAGTTTGAGATAATTTCAGCCAGCTGTTCGAAGTCTTAGTCTCAACCTATTTTCTTAAAGCATGGATGTCGTAGAACTAATCAATCATTCGAGGTTGTTTCTTACAGAATACTTCTCCAAAATATTTCTCATACATACTTTTCTCATTTACTTGATTTTTTCTCATTTCAAAATTAAAATTCATTGAAACATAAGATATTTTAGCAAAATTTTGTTTCGATAGTCAGCTATCAAAAGGAGCAAAACAAGAAGTATGTGGTGAGGAGTTACCTCCCCTCTTTTATTATCGTAACGTGCAAATGTACACATAGAACAATATCATCAAGCATCTGACTAACGTATGTGATTATTGAAACATTAAACAATATATGATTGTATCTTGCATTTTATTTGTTGCTAAACCCTATTTACGACATTTCGTTACCAAAAACCGTCACGGTAACCGGAAGCACGTGAAGTTGTTGTTTTGGTGGATCGTGAGTGTTGTCAGAACAAAATATGCCACGACAAAGAAGGGCACTGACACAGAGGCAAGACTCAGACGACGAGTTCGAAACTCCGGCATTCCGAGACATCGGAAAAGATGATGAGACGAAGGAAACCGAAGAAATTGACAGCGAAGAGGATCTGGTGGAAGCAGAAGAGTTCTGTGTAACTTGTCCTACCTTCTGTAGTTAGTGATGTAAAAATAAAACTAGAATTCTGAATTAGTGAACGTCGGCCTTTAATATCTTCTCACCCACACACGCTTACCAACATGTACAATGCCTGTGTGTCGGTAACCAGCTGACAACTCCATGACCCTTCCGTTTACTTTGTTCCGTTTAGTCAGACCGATGACCCGGGTTCGATTCCCGACATGGTTACAATGTGTGAAGCCCATTTCTGGTATCCCCCGCCGTGATATTGCTGGAATATTGCTAAAATTAGCGTAAAAACATACTCACTCACTCACTGTTCCGTTTAGTGTTGTAATATGAGTTTAATAATTAACAAGATCCTTACTTATGTCGTAAAACACTTCCCCTGACCCCGAGGAGAAACTTTTACAAATGCAAGTCTTAGTCGACATTATATTACCCTATTGATTCAAACACCGACAAGTGTAAGTGCAGGTTTTTAGTGCTTATTGCCTCCAGCTTCAGTGTAGGATCCCCTTTCCAATCAAGGACCCCCCAGAGCTCCAGATATCTGCGTAAAATACGCATCAGAAATGCAAAAATATGCAGTAAAATGTAATCCAAGGGTATCAAATACGCAACAAACGTTACAGATACACTACAAAAATAAAACTTGTGCGTATCATCAAAATATTGTGAAGTAACCCTGCGTATTCGATTAGGAAATCAGCAACTTATTTTGAAATTATAAACGGGCATTCTGTCAACCTTGCCAAACTCCACATGACAGTTACATAATGATCATTTGCCAGCACAATTTCTTGTGGAAGTATCGTGCTATTTTTGAGTCCTTCAAAGCTCTCGAACCCGCACGACACCAGTTTGCAGGGACTAGATGAATAGTGTTTTTAAATATTTAACTTAAATACCAACATGTGTAAAAACTAGTGCGTAACAGAAAATTGAATACCCAGATAGAATTACTGATACCCAATGATTTTAAAATGCATGGGTAAAATACCCACAACACCAAAAGCTTATCTGGAGCTCTGACCCCCTCATGATCCTTAGGGTTGCCAATTAAACAACTATTTACGATCCTTACGATCCTTATCTTTCCTCTTTAAATGAACTTGATTGTCATTGTACACCAACGTTGTGGATTGTTGCTCATACTGGAATGTCTGGTCCAGACTAGATTATTTACATGCAGCCAACAAGTAGCTGGACTTTAAACAACAAACAAAATATTGGTTGCAGTGTCTGCCAGTGATGAGGATGACAGTGATGCTGCTCCTGAGGATGTGGGCTTCTCAGAGACCCGGGCAACAGCCCTTTCCCAGATGAGGCAGGCAATGACACAGATAAAAGAAGAAAAACTCCAGTTGAAAGCAAAGAGAAAGCAGAGAGATGAAAAGTTTAAGGAACAAAAGGTAGTTAGTGTGCTGTATAAGGCTTGTCCGTTTATTGAGGTCAAGAAATGACATGAAGGATAAGCTTAGAATCTAACATTTCAGTTCCAGGATCTCTGATCAGATTCAGAGTGATTATGATCCCATGGGTGTCAGCTCTATTCTGTTGTGTGTGTAGCAGTGTGTGGAGTCATCCACAGATGACATCCTCACCTTGTCAACTTGCTGACGGGATTAACATCTTTGTATCTTAACCTCTTGTCATGTACACAAGATCAAGATTTGGTCATGTCCGACATCAGATCGGAAGGTCCATCGTTCGCATCCCATCAAGGGACTCGGACATTTTGTGGCTGCTACACGTTTTTCCAAATTGGTGAAAATCTATGACCTGCGTCTCTTTTTGAGAACCATGGTTGGAATATGTCTTGAACAGGCTTGTCGAGGAGTGGACCGGATGGTCATACTTGGTGACTTGTTGTTGATTTGCATGTCATCATACCCTGCTCACAATATCAACCACTGGTTTGTGTTGCCAAATTGAGATTATTTACAGCCTGCTGTCTTGTAATTGAACTATTGTGGAGTGCAGCATTAAGAACAAACGAAGAAAACACTTCAGGCATTCTGCAACCCTTTTTGATGATCACACAGCTTTAAAGTGTAACCATGGTAACATAAGTAAGGTAGAGGTTCTGTAAAATGGTTAATTAATCAATCACCTCTGTGGCCTATTGGACAGAGCGTCAGTGGTTTGATCCCCGGTTGCATCAAACCATAAGACGTTAATAGATGGTTCATCTTGTTGCCCTGCCTGGCACTGGTCTTCGTGGGGTATCCATGTAAAACTGACCCATGGTATCTCAGTTGGCTGGCACTATAAAATTGTCCAGAACAACCAGCCACACACACACATGCATGCACACTGTTATATGAGGGCAATAAACTTGAACACACAGTAAAAACCCCATTTCACGTAACCCACCTGTTAAGGTTTTTTTTAAATCTGTTCCTGAACCAATATTTCTGTGATATTATGTGCTACTTTGAACTTTGTCAATTATACTACTTAACTTAACGTTGTTGAAGCGGATAAAGTTGGAAGCTGTGTCTCACTTGCCTGATGAAATCCTGAACAGTCTTCCAGAAAAACTCAGTGAGGAAAAGAAGGAAACAGAAATAGGAAAACAGAAAAAGAAGGAAAAAAAGAAACATGAAGGCAAAAAACAGGGTAACCATTCCATTGTCAATTCTGACAAATTTTGTTGTATTTATGTCCATGATTACGTTCTTTCTTAAAAGTAATTGTACTTGTACTTGTAATTCGTATATTGTATTGTGATATATGTGATACATTAATAGATTAGTATCTTTGTCATATTATTTTTGTTGTCCCCCACCATAATAATTCTGGAACAATGCTAAAGGTGGTATAAAACAATACTCATTCACTCATTTCTTGTAATGTGTTGTTTAGTAACATAGAGATTCCCACCTGAGTGTATTTTGATATCCGATATATCAACACTTATCTTTAAAACTTTAAAGCTCTACAGCTTGTGAGGGATTTTATTGGGTGAAATTCTGTTTATTATCCAAGGTCTTTCGACTAACATTTCCAGTTTGTAAACAGTTATAACCAGTGTAAAAAAGTACAGCGTAGCAGCTTCAACGGCAGAGATATTACTGATGGTATGATCTGCAACGCATTGTGATGTAATTTCATTGTAGCGATATCCCTTGATCTCCTCTGGGCGGTCGGGTAGCCTAGTGGTTAAAGCGTTCGCTCGTCACGCCGAAGACCCGGGTTCGATTCCTGCCATAGGTACAATATGTGAAGCCCATTTCTGGTGTCCCCCGCTGTGATATTGCTGGAATATTGCTAAAAGCGGCGTAAAACCATATTCACTCACTCACTCACTCACTTTATACATATTGTTCATAATTCTTTGATATTCTTATTTCATAATCATCATTTTGATTAAAATCCATTAAAATGTTAACTTAAAGGCGTTTGGCAACTCATGGTCGACCATCCACTGTATTACATCTCCATTCTTTTATGATGAATACCGCTAAAAATTACCATTTATTATTACAAAATCATTAGCGAAATTTGGAATCCAAGCCATATAACGGAGAGGGGCGTCAACATCGGCTCTATATGGTGTACCCATGTGGTGAATTGGTGTGACGAGTCAACGCTTTAACCTCGCTAGACAAACCCCGCCGCCAATGGCTTTGCCAGTTAAGATTACTTATATAAACAAATGTCAAATCAGATAAGAAGTGTGGTATATTTCATGCAGGTGTTCACCAGAATAGTCACGTGATGTCATGGTTACGAGTTTAGCCAATCGGGGAACACTTCCGTTGCACGAGTTTTTCCTGCGCGTAATCCAGACTATTGATCGAAACATACGACGCTTACTTTATCAAATGCACTGAAACATGTGAAATTAATTTCAACAAGCTGTTTAGAATTCCTTTAAAAATCGAGATTACAATGGGCTTAGACCCCTATTTGTCATGAGAGAGCTTAGTGTCCGCTTTACAGCGGATAGCTTAGTGTCTGCTTTTCAGCAGATGGCTTAGTGACCGCTTTACAGCGGATGGCTTAGTGACCGCTTTACAGCGAATGACATAGTGACCGCTTTACAGCGGATGGCTTAGTGTGTGCTTTACAGCGGATGGCTTAGTGACCGCTTTACAGCAGATGGCTTAGTCTGTTAGTGATCGCTTTACAGCAGATGGCTTAGTGACCGCTTTACAGCGGATGACATAGTGACCGCTTTACAGCAGATGGCTAAGTGACTGCTTTACAGCAGATGGCTTAGTGACCGCTTTACAGCAGATGGCTTAGTGTCTGCTTCACAGCGGATGGCTTAGTGACCGCTTTAGAGCGGATGGCTTAGTGTCCGCTTTACAGCGGATAGCTTAGTGTCCGCTTTACAGTGGATGGCTTAGTGCCCGCTTTACAGCAGATGGCTTAGTGTCAGCTTTACAGCAGATGGCTTAGTGTCAGCTTTACAGCGGATCGCTAAGTGTCTGCTTTTCAGCGGATCGCTAAGTGACCGCTTTACAGCGGATGGCTTAGTGTCCGCTTTTCAGCGGATGGCTTAGTGTCCGCTTTACAGTGGATCGCTAAGTGTCTGCTTTCACAGCGGATGGCTAAGTGTCCGCTTTACAGAGGATGGCTTAGTGACCGCTTTACAGCGGATGGCAATAGCTGCATAGCAACATTGGTTGCTTGGCAACTGTAGTTGCAGGGTAGTGGTCACTGCATTGGTAAGCAAGATGGGTTGCAGTCAGCAGTCCACTAGTACCCCAACATCCATGACCATTTCATTAAAATAACATCTCTTGTCTTAATTTCAAGTTCAGCTATCATGCAAAAAATAATCCATATTAACTGTGATATTGCTGTAATGTTGCTCATGCTTGTTTCTTTACTCCGTGAAAATATGCCGTTGATCTTTTCATTGATTGATATTTTTTACCAATGTTATAAAATAAATTTATCAACTGTCACATGATCTTTGTTGTACTTGTGCTATCTCCAGTACAAATAATTGTCTGGACTGGACAATCCAGTGATTGATACTATCAGCAACGATCCAAGCCATCAAGGTTCATTGTTGTTTTTTCAAGACACCTTTAGGCAAATTCAAGGCAAGTAAAAAGCAGAGTTGTGTCCCTTTGGTGCAACAGAACCCTATGATTGTGGGTTCGAATCCTCGTATGTCCCACGATACCCGTGCTCTTGGGTTTTAACAAAGCGGTAAACATCTGAGACCTGCATTACTTTAGCCTTTTCACCTACCTAAAACTGACACAGCGTGATATAACTGGAAAACTGGTCAAAGCGGTGTTGGACCTAACTGACAAACAGCCACATTCACACAAATATGTGATTCAAACACATGATCATAGGTTTCTGGCACACCCGAGAGGTGCACAGCAAATTGTGTCCTTAGATGACTGAGCCCCATTCGAACCAAAGGCTGTGATACTGTGAAATGGTTCCAAGTCTGTGCATGTTACCCTCAATTAAAATTCAGCTTCGCTTGAAGCACTTGTAAAATCTCCTTTCCTTCTTGCACAGAAAGGATGCAAATCAAAGACATCTGTATAAACAGATTTATATCTACCAAGGACAACAGGCACTATATCATATTGATTGACATTTTATTGACACCGCTATATACAAAGTTATAATATCTTGAAGCAAATGATATTAACTGCAAACAACCACATGCAAAAGGAGGTCATACCAATAATGTGCCCGTGAAGCTGAAATGTTCAACTACATCTGTAGTGATGATAGAAACAAACAATTATTGCGTAGGGAAGTAATGTCAACATGATTTCAAAATAAGATATAAACAGGGATCCAAATTGGGTATTTACTCACACGTTATCATTCACATTGGAGATCAATATATTTTTAACAAAATTCAAGCTATTTACACAGAGCCGACTCAGAAGAGCAGAGTTAAATAACATGATCATAGAGAAAAATACAGAAAATGTATACAAAAGCAAAAGTTAGATATAACATGGCACAACGGCTCAAATAAAAAACTAAACAAATCAGTGCTTTATACAGTACTTTGATTACAGATCTGCCACCCCCCAAATAATTCACAAATGTGCAACAAAATTCTGTTCTTTCCACCAAGTTTCAATTTAGATGAAAAAAGAACACTTTCAAGCCGATCAATATGGGAAGGGAAGTAACGCTTTCAAACAAACCGCACCCTGACGATGGACCTCTGAAGTAGCCCTAAATTTTACTTCTACTACTACTTCATTCAGTCATTTTCTTTGTTGTCAGGCAAGCAAACAGAAATGTGACCTCAAAATGTTTATTTTAATCTGCAATTTAGAGTCGGCGGATCAGTTAAGTATGTACAATGAAAACCTCATCGACACGAAGTCTCATAAAACAGCTTCAATAAGTGGTGATGAAAAGATAAACATGGTCATTATGTCACATCATCATGATCATCTTTCCTGCATCGTCAATACGTTCTTCAATAAGCCTTTGAAACATATGGCCGCTTTGCAGTGTGGTCTCTATTTTCAACCAACGAATTAAGACACAGTCTGGTTCCAGCCAGATGGAAATCAGTTGACAGCTGACATTGCACAAATTGTGATGTTAATCCCAGGTTGGCTTCTACGAGTAATAAACAGCCAAATTTCATCAGCATGTGAGCTTACTAAAAATAGACACCTGTCACTACAACACCACATATCAGCCATATGTACCGTTATTCACAGATGACAGAGAAATGTGGTGTTCAGTAAAAAGACTGAACTATACAACAAAAAGCTTGAAAAAAACAAACATACAGAGATAATGACAGCCATCTAAGATAAATACAGTCATGATTTAACATCTCACAGACTAGGCTGGTTCATGAGGAAATCATACATAAACGTCAAACAGAGTCCTTGTACTTTAGACTTCCAAATATTTCAGCTTCTGCAGTGTGAGAAGGATGTGTAAGTGCAATTTTGAACAGTATTTCGGTTATATCAAACCTTATCCACTGGTTCTGGAAGAAAAGTCTGAAGACTGATTACAATAGGTCTTTGATGTTCACCACTGGGGTAAGAGCCACAAGCAGTGGGATGTGACTTAATCAATGTGAATCGATGATCAAGGGTGCCAGGTGACACAACTCGGCAACAATCCCCACGTTCAGGGAACGCTGACACATAATCAACCATGTCACCTGGGCTGACCACGTGATCCATGAAGTCACATCACACAGCAAGCATCAGTTGCTGGGGACCTGTTCTAACCCGGACTGCCCAGGGAGGAGGTGTATATTTATGTGCGGAAGTAGTACCACTTTAAGAAATAGGGACCTCCTGACCTCAAGTTTCTTGTCAATAATCAATTCTTCCCAGGATACATCACTGTTGAGGAATGAAACTGTTTTTTAAACAATGACAGTTTGAAGTTGGCAGGTTCAAATTAAACTTTTTTAACAATAAGCAGCAACAAAACTAATCTCCTGAAGCCATGTGTCAACACAAGCTCCTCACAGTGCTAGTCCATTTGTGAGGCTCTCTATACTATTGCTGCCACCAGTCACAGCACTTCCCTGCGATGAAGCGTTGACACTGGCAGCGATGATACTGGGAGGGTAATCGAAGGGGTCACACACTGGGATGGAGTTTGGTGTCAACATGACAAGGATAAGTCAAGTCCAATCACAAAACACAATGAATGTATCCATATACCAGGCAATTCAAGCTTGGAACATTCACAATGTTAATAACAAGAAAGGCATTGATTATTTCCTTATTTTAAACAAAAAATGATGATGATAATTCTTATTTTTCTTTATTCAAAACAAAAAAATTCTCTCTCTGGACGCGCAAACACTTCGCTATGAACATGATGAACCATCACACTCCAGTCCTAGCTGGGTGATGATAATTTTCAAACCAATACAAAAAATCCCATTGGTCAAACATATTCTTACGATCCAGGCAAACATCCGTAACCATTGAAACAGGGAAAATACCTTTCAATCTTTAATTAATCTTGCAATAACTCAATCCTATCAGAAAAAAAAATCTGAATTATTTCACTTCATAAACTTCTTAATACCATATTTCCTGAAATTAGCACACACCCCTAAACACAAAATCCTCTTTTAACACATCAGTTGTATTGGCATTGGCAACAGGCTGTGCCAGGGGGTATACATTATTTTAGAAACATTCCAATAACATTCCATCACTTAAAGACGGGCAATGCATTTATTCATACACGCAAAACATTGACAAAATCATCACTGACAAAATAAAATCTCGTTTCTTTGGAAAGTTGGTGGTTATTTCAGGAAATACAGAACACATGAGAAAGGTTTTAAGGCTTCAGGTGTTTCAATAATCGACCCATCTCGGCTTTCTCCAGCGCTGCGATGAGGTCGCCAACTGTGGGGTTATTGTTTTCTATTTTCCACTTCTTCAGCAGCTGGTATATGACCTCTTCAAGACCTTCGCTCTGGTGGATGTGGAAAATGTAGTCCACATCTGACTCCTCAATCCCCAACAGCCGAACTGTGGACAACAGACAGTCAGTAATGGACCAGTTGTGATAAATGAATCTATAATGGAAGGGAGGTAACTCCAAACTTGTTTCCTTCCCTTTTCCTCATGCCACCACTATTTTGTTTTTTCCTTCCAACTTGTTGTAAATATAAAAAATTGATTTGAAATTGAAATTTTAAATTTTTTATTTGTTTATTTATTTATTTAAGACAATCAGCCCTGAACCAAAAATACCATGTTCAGAAATGTCAGGTAAATAGTTCATGAATGAATGATATCAACTGGGATAATATGGGAAAGAAACTGGAATATTCTACATGTCAGATGATTGTCATACAAATCTGAGACTCAGGCTGAAAACCCACAGCGATATTGTGTATCTCATCACCTAGCAATGGCTAAAACATTGTTATTCATATGATTTCAGACGTGCTCATGGCTGCCCACTTACATAATCGCCTCCACGAGCCACCGACGTGACGAGACAGTCGCTGGAACACCTCATCTGAGATCTGGAGATGCGAATCTACAACACAAATGTTCAATAAATACAATGAGGCGCATGTACAATAAATACAATGATGCCCATGTACAAATAATACAATGAGGCCCATGTAAAATAAATACAATGAGGCACATGTACAATAAATACAATGATGCCCATGTACAATTAATATCATGATGCCCATGTACAATTCATGCAATGATGCCCATATACAATTAATACAATGAGGCCCATGTACAATTAATACAATGAGGCCTATGTACAATAAATACAGTGATGCCCATGTACAATTAATACAATGTCGCCCATGTACAATAAATACAATGATGCCCATGTACAATTAATATGATGATGCCCATGTACAATAAATACAATGAGGGGCATGTACAATAAATACAATGATGCCAATGTACAATTAATATCATGATGCCCATGTACAATTGATGCAATGATGCCCATATACATTTAATACAATGAGGCCCATGTACAATTAATACAATAAGGCCTATGTACAATAAATACAATGATGCCCATGTACAATTGATGCAATGATGCCCATATACAATTAATACAATGAGGCCCATGTACAATTGATGCAATGATCAGATGATGCCTATGTACAATTGATGCAATGATGCCCATGTACAATTGATGCAATGAGGCCCATGTACAATTGATGCAATGAGGCCCATATACAATTAATACAATGATGCCCATGTACAATTAATACAATGAGACCCATGTACATTTGATGCAATGAGGCCCATGTACAATTAATCATTGAGGCCCATGTACAATAAATACAATGATGCCCATGTACATTAAATACAATGAGGCCCATGTACAATTAATACAATGATGCCCATGTACAATTAATACAATGAGGCCCATGTACAATTAATACAATGAGGCCCATGTACAATAAATACAATCAACAGAAACTCACCTAAATGTATTTCAGCCTCATTAGCAGAAACTCACCTCAATGTATTTCAGCCTCATTAGCAGACACTCACCTCTAAGTATTTCAGCCTCATTAGCAGAAACTCACCTCAATGTATTTCAGCCTCATTAACAGAAACTCACCTCAATGTATTTCAGCCTCATTAGCAGAAACTCACCACAATGTATTTCAGCCTCATTAGCAGAAACTCACCTCAATGTATTTCAGCCTAATTAGCAGAAACTCACCTCTAAGTATTTCAGCCTCGTTAGCAGAAACTAACCTCTAAGTATTTCAGCTGTTTCCTCATCAGCCAGGCGCCGTTTCCGCACCTGCTCCTGTAGGTCTTCCTCATTGTCAAAGTTGTCAGAATCAGAGGATAAGTCCTCTTCCACCTCCTGGTTCTGCTGGCGTCCTGTCTGGACGTACATCCTGTTGTAGTTGCCGATCTGTACATTCTGACTGTTCACGATGTTGATTAGTGGACCACCTGTCATTTTAATTGCTGAGTTAACTTTGGTTATTGAAAAAGCAATTGGAACTTCCCTTTACTGAATCATTTATTTGACTTGAATCATTTATCAGGTTGTCAGGTCAATGTTGTGCCATGGCAGTCTGATAACATTTCATCTTCATTAGTCGGTACATAATGTACAGAGAAAAAATATGTCATAGAAATTAACAAAGGAATTTCATTAAAATTGGGTTCGAAATTACTTGCACTCACTCAGTATCATATACACAAAACATGGAAAAGACACGAAATGGTGCAGGACAAGAAGGGAATCTGTCCAGGACACATTTCACCGCACCTTGTACCCAAGGGTGTCACTGCTCCTTCTCTCCATCCTCACTCACATTCCCCCACCCCCCCTCACCACCCTCACTCACTCACATGCCCACCCCACCCGAGATGTCAACCCTAATTAAAGTAATCAGGTGGGGTAAAACAGTGTAATTTCATGTGAAAAAGAGTAATGTTAAGAGTGTCATGCCATGATGCTGGTTTAACGATTCAACATTTTCATTAGGCATATACATATGTGATGCATGGGTACACATGCACTGACGCTAGGAATGTAGCTGCACATGCAAGCCGCACTATTTTTAAAACAGGACAATAAAGATGAAATTAAGCAGGGAAAATGACTCCACTTGCGTTTGTATGGAATAATATGACAAAACCTTGAAACTGAATATCAATTCAAACATCGAAAAAGTACTCATAAAAGACAAGTTCCATAACGGCAAGCGACAACCTTATCAGTGACATACATCGGGGCCACATTTCAAACAAAGACATTATATTTGGAATACACTGGTAATTAACTTTGAATGAACAATTTGCTCTCTGTGATATTTTATACATGTAAATAATATGTGAAAAATATGTCAAAATCGTAATTTGGGTAGGAAAAATGTAAAATCGTAATTTGAGGTTCAAAAGAGTAGTTATTACGCATCTCTGCCCACCCACCTCTCATCCAAACCAACCTCACTGCTCACCCTTCCCACCTCACTCGCAGCCCCCTCCCCCAGGCCTATCCCACTGTTCCCTCCACCCAACCCACCCCTCACCCCACCTAACCTCACTGTTCACCCTCCCCACCTCACACCCCCTCCCCCATGCCTATCCCACTGTTCCCCCCACCCCACCTAACCTCACTGCTCACCCTCCCCAACTCCCCCCTCCTCCCCCCATGCCTATCCCGATGTTCCCTCCACCCAACCCACCCCTCACCCCACCTCACCTTACTGTTCACCCTCCCCAACTCCCCCCTCCTCCCCCCATGCCTATCCCGATGTTCCCTCCACCCAACCCACCCCTCACCCCACCTCACCTTACTGTTCACCCTCCCCAACTCCCCCCTCCTCCCCCTATGCCTATCCCGATGTTCCCTCCACCCAACCCACCCCTCACCCCACCTCACCTTACTGTTCACCCTCCCCAACTCCCCCCTCCTCCCCCCATGCCTATCCCGATGTTCCCTCCACCCAACCCACCCCTCACCCCAACTAACCTCACTGCTCCCCCTCCCCACCTCACACCCCCTCCCCCATGCCTATCACACTGTTCCCTCCACCCAACCCACCCCTCACCCCAACTAACCTCACTGCTCCCCCTCCCCACCTCACACCCCCTCCCCCATGCCTATCACACTGTTCCCTCCACCCAACCCACCCTCACCCCACCTAACCTCACTGCTCACCCTCCCCACTTCACACACCCCTCCGCGTATGCCTATCACACTGTTCCCTCCACCCAACCCACCCCTCACCCCACCTCACCTCACTGTTCACCCTCCCCACCTCACCCCCCCTCCGCCCATGCCTATCACACTGTTCCCTCCACCCCACCAACCCCTCACCCCAACTAACCTCATTGCTCACCCTCCCCACCTCACACCCCACTCCCCCATGCCTATCACACTGTTCCCTCCACCCCGCCAACCCCTCACCCCACTGCTCCCCTCCCCACCTCACATCCGCCTCCCCGATGCCTATCACACTGTTCCCTCCACCCCACCAACCCCTCACCCCACCTAACCTCACTGCTCCCCTCCCCACCTCACATCCGCCTCCCCGATGCCTATCACACTGTTCCCTCCACCCCACCAACCCCTCACCCCACCTAACCTCATTGCTCACCCTCCCCAACTCCCCCCTCCTCCCCCCATGCCTATCACACTGTTCCCTCCACCCCACCAACCCCTCACCCTACCTAACCTCATTGCTCACCTCCCCAACTCCCCCCTCCTCCCCCCATGCCTATCCCACTGTTCCCTCCACCCAACCAACCCCTCACCCTACCTATCCTCATTGCTCACCCTCCCCACCTCACACACCCCTTACCCCACTCTAACATCACTCACTGCACCCCCTCACCTGTCTAGCCAACCCACCTTCGTGTGAAGAGATTTACCTGCCTGTCTTTGTTGACATGTTTTTTTCATCGAAATATGATTGCCTATGTTTTTGTGTCAGGGATGAAATCATGAATGATTTCGTTATCTGATTGACTAGGCCGTCGCCATCTTTGTGAAGCTATTCGAGATAAGAACAGCGTTCTGATTGGATGTCGCGTTTTCATTACAAGGGGCACAACTCGTGATCTACGCGAGGTGGTGCCAGGGTCAAGCAAAGAAAAATGGCCATGATGTGGCAAGGGTAGAAACTAGGCTTTGATATAGGCTAGTGGACACACTTGCCTCGGCAAGACGGCCCCACCCTAGAACACCTTACATCATCTCTCATCTCTTGCTTCCCTCCCTCCCTCCTACCTACCTGTTTGTCTGGCGGCAGATGCTGATGAAGAGGCTCCAGTGGGAGGTATCCTCTCCCCAGTCACAGGGTTCACCAAAGGGGTGTTAGGAGAGATGTAGGGCGGGGCTTTGTCTATGTTGGAGATGTTCTGTATCTGGGCAACACCTATCTGTGCATTGTTCACTGCCCTCATGGCCTGACAAACAAACAACACTGTTACCATGGTTATGGACAAGGTGTATGACTGAATAAATGGAAACTGGAGATAGAAAACGAAAACAAACATTTGACTGTTACCATGCTTACACTAGGTTCTGATTATATGATATTTATGAGCATACTGTATTCGACGTTATAAGCCCACGGCAATATTTGCAGCAATATTGGCTGTTGAACAATCCCAATTAGCACCCCTTCCGATTGATCAATGTACACAAGACTTATTTATTCCTGTATAATATGTGCGTTATACATGTTATATGCATCCTTTATTATTGGAAATTAAATTCTGGAAAAATATATCTGTCGAATATAAACATTTCAGGCTGACAGCATAAACCACAAAATTTACGATCTTTCAACTGTTGTTTTTCACCAAAATAATATTCTAAAAAGAGCCCCCTATTTCTAATATTGAGAGCACCCTGGGTGCTTATTATGTCGAATACGGTATTCTTAATGGATATGTATCTTCATTCTTCAAGCAATGTGTACTTTGGGTTACAAAAATTAAACATATAAATTATTGCCACTACTAGCACTATCGATAATGTAGCATGGCATCGAGAGATAATTTATAAGTTTAGGCCATGGACAATTGTGTTGCATAATAGCTCCATCAATCGTTACGCCCAGAACTAAACAGTAACCAGGATAACACTTACATTGTCAAGAATTCCGTTGATAGATATTGGGTGGCCTCCGGCTCTTCTGGCACCTTGGTTCCTGGACATGTTGAGGCGCTAGTAATATGTCTCACAATGGTCCACAGGATATTTAATTTAGAGACAGGACATCCCAACCACAAGTGATGATTTCCTGGAGAAAAAAAAAATGCAAATTATATCTCTTTATTAAACAATAATGTGGAGAATAATACGCCAAGGTATACAGAAATCATGGAAATGTACCCTTGATGAAATCAAATAACAGAAATGTTCCCTAGCTGGCCACTACCCAACACTGATGTCCATACAACGGATTGCAAATCGGTTTCTCAGCAGAATTCCAGAATGCAAAACACACGTAAAAAACAAGTTGGAGTTTGACCATCTCAACTTGGTAACAATCTATTTCCGCGTAATGGTATGCGATACTTTAGATTACAAATAAACAAAGGCAAGTTTTGATTTTAGGAACTTGATTTGACTTGCATCAGGTGCATGTTGACAAGAAATGCCAGTTGCACCAGACATAACCAGTCTGCACCCTGGTCCCATACATTTATCCAAGATGAAACATGGATACATAAGCTAGTCTAAGTAGGATAATCCCAGATCTCTGATGACTGTGTCATGTGTAATTAATTACACATATCTCAGGGATTGGTCATGCAGTAGGGTAAATAAAGCTAACAAAGTGTTAGGTACTAAATGTCTTCACAGATCGTGTTTGTGTGGACAAGTAAGGGTTAGTCACAAAATTAAAAAAAAATTACATGCAGACATAGATACTGTAAATCTTGAAATTAACGCGAGCGTGAATTAAATGCGAAAAATGCGAGTGGTCTTTGCTCGCATTATTAAACATCGCATTTATATCAACAATAAGACATTTGGGATAGTAGAAATACCAACTTAGACATACACTGAAAACACATCAATGTTTATTGAGCAGCACTTGTAACAAGTACTAACACTAATTACATCCTGTGAATTGTCACTGCTGGGGTCAAGACAAGCGTTCTCCTCACTTAGGTCATCACTGATCACACCTGACAGACAGACGACAACCAACGATGTCTTTGTTCTTTGCGATTGCATCAAAGACCGACACGAGCCAGTGCGCACATATTGTTTTAGCTGAAGTACTCTACTCAGCGCTAATAAGCGGTGCTATTTGGTGTGTGATTGGATAAATGTAAGGTTGGATTAATGTGAGGATTCTCCTGTAAACCTGATAGTCTATCCGTAGGGTTAGTTAATTGTGTTAGGGTAGGTTACCCCATACTCTATCCTTAGCCCTTGGATCCTCTTTAAGATCAATCCACCCTTTACCATCATTAGGGACAGGTACTCATTTGTTTGCTATTACATTCTAGCAGCTCCTTCACACAAAACGCCAAGAAAGCAGGATATGAAATGGTTTGGTGTCAAATATTTTGGCTACTGGATACTGTCCTGGAACATCCACACAAGCCACTTACAACCCCTACATTTCTTCAGTAATGATTCAAAAGCCGACTCAACCTTGTGGCATCACTATTCATGCTTACTTATGCCTTCCTAGAAGGAACTCTCCCAAACATTTCTGTGACAAAATCACCTGGGAAATTATTAAAAACAATGTCATTCATCTGCTAATTCGATGTCTGATGAATGACGTTTGGCGCCATCATTCCTCACCCCTCGGTATCTTGTAGATAACGGAAAAGGATGAGTGTGCCAACTAGTATCAGGATTACTCATGCGTGTCTTAGTCTTAAGTCCCTTGGAACCTGCCTACCCGTTACTTTCATAAGTGTCCGTCACCTATTCGACACATAACATCTAAGGCTCGACTAGGTAAATTTGCACTAAGTTTACAGTGTGGACGTAGCTCAGTCGGAAAACTGTCAGGCTTACATTCCAAAGGTCGCTAATTTGCGTCTGACGGATTCCCCCCAAAAAGGTTGCTAATCTCAGTGACATGTGACTTACGACAGAGATCATCCTCATGAGAACCTGTGGTGCTGTATTCTAAGGTGCTCCTTGTTTCCCTTTAGCATGTGAAGACACTTTGTTTTAATCCGAAACCCAATTATGGAAACATTATGAAAAAACAAATTTTTTGTCAAGTGTCAAAGTCAAATCATGATTTTGAATGTCAGATGAAGCCAAACAACAAATTGAAATGCATTCTTGAAAACTAGAATGAACACTAGACAATCGAAAGCCTTTGTTTATAAGTACATGTATTTGTGTTGCAACAGTTGAAATAAACATATTTATTTCCATGAAGTGAAAGGATTGGCAAACAAGCAAATTTTGCTTATCTAAATGCCTCTCCCAAACATGATACATATACAAATAGCAATGTATTGATAGTGACATGAGAAATAGCAATAGCATACATTGTATAATTGGCATTAAAGGTAGGTATTGTTCTGTAAGTGTTTAATCACTGGATTATCTTCCATAACTACAGTTACATTATTATTTACATTCAGCACAACAACATCGCAGTATCATATAGCAAAGCCATCATCTCAGACAAAATCTCTAAATCGGCAAGAAGATAGAATAAAACTGTTTTACCAGAAAGATCAATTTGCGGATTGTGCCCCTGGACAGGACATGTGTTTTGGATATGCCATTATGTGTTTCAGGGTACTTTCACTTACTTTGTTCTGGCAAGTGAATCTGCATAGGGTCACGACATGAGAATGTGTTTCTGAACGGTAGGCCTAAATGCCATGAGATAACCTGTTCTAAATATGACCTGATGAGTTCACTTTGAAGAAAGATGGACAAATCGTTGCATCAAGGAAGTATGGACTCCGTACATAATTTACGCATCAAGGCAAGACATCGACAACTTCCGTAAAAACGTTCATTCCGGTTTGGGGATCGAAATAGGCTACTGCAGTCTGACCAGATGATGTCACCCGTGTGATCTCTTAGGGAACGTATCTCACAACAAAAGGCAATATGCGATTATATTTTATCAAATATCAGATAGCAGCGTGAATGTTTTACATTTGACGATTGCAAATTATCAAAACTTGCCTTTGTTTATTGTCCCATAAGACACTTGTCGATATTTTGATGATGATATCCTGGGTTTTCCCAAAATAAGAAAATACGAAAACATGGAAGCTTACTGATTCGAAAAATCAATGGTCCGAATAACAGATACTTTAATTCAAGGTTCACGTTACCGTTGTGTTTATCTGTTTATCTACGCTTGTTCTTATATATTAATGATGTTCGAAACTACATGGAAGACTTCATGATGTACTCAGGATTAAACAATGACGAAATAACAAATCAATTTTCGTTTTTAATATAACATGAATTTTTCTTATGGCAAGGGAAACAACTCTATGCATCACTTGTACTTGATTGAGAACTGTCAATATATGTGCGACACAACGTTCGAATCCCAGTAGTTCTATCCGAGAAGTCATATGAAAATATGAACAGGTACTTGCTAGCGACCAGTTATCGCCGAGGACCCCCGTTATAGCGCACACGTGATCGCATCTCGTTTCACTTTTGCTTGTTTTCATCAGAGACCATATTATAGAGTCTCTGTTTTCACGAGAAGAGAAAAATATTTATCCAAAAATGATGATGAGAACGGACTCTTGTGAGGAAATATTATATAAAAACACCATAATCACCTTGCTCAAATACAACTTACAACTTTAGAAAAGACACGATGGTGCACTTTCTGTTCAGTCAATGCTTTCTATCAGTCTGTCATATCATTACCTATTTGAGCTATATTTCCAAAACTGCATAACCTGCATACATCGAGAGAGAGAGAGAGAGAGAGAGAGAGAGAGAGAGAGAGAGAGAGAGAGAGAGAGAGAGAGAGAGAGAGAGATCTGAACCCCACCCAATACAGCGCCAAATATAAATGTTAAAGTTTTTAATTCTAAAGGAGCAGACGGTGGTTTCGTCCTCGCTGTCTGACAAAGCCCGCTTTCACACAAGCGCTGCATAAAAGTGCGTCTTGCCTCGACGAAATTGGGGCAAACGCTCAAACACAGATCACGTGATTCTATTCATGAATCAACAATATACTTCATGAAGATACATGACATGTACATTCTAACAACAGCGAATCACATGCAGTTTGGTTACTCATCGACCCTAAGCATGCTGAATGCAATTCACATTTGTCATGCTTCAACATATTTCAAGTTTTGCTTTCCTGGCTTGTGGTATAGGCCTTAACAAATCAATTGTTTGTTCGCAGAACTTATTGGTCTAACATGGCTGTGATATATGTAGAAGCCCGACACCACCATCCCTACCCACGCCCAACAACTCACACCCATGGGTAGAATGTGTTAAGCCCATTTCTGGTGTCTCTCGCCGTGATATTGCTGGAATATTGCTAAAAGCGGCGTTGAACCATACTCACACCCAACCCCACCACCTTTGAAGCAAACCAATCATGTTTACGTATACAAAACATATAACTGACAATGACATTTTATCAACCAAGATATGAATTACATGACTAATTCCATGTTGACAACTGCAATTAATTTGTTATGGATATATCTACTGACAACGACAGACATGTATTTATACCATAGATCGCGAATATGAATACACACAGCAAAGTGTACACGTGACATACATAATTAATTCATAAGGAGAACAATAGCCTGCATAATTCTACTCGTCTCTCTCTCGTTGGCTTCAACAAAGTGGTATTTTGAACACAATTTTTAGTCAGATTATGCGTCAATGTGGTTCAACCCCATTGTCATGTTATTAGTGTGTGAGTGAGTGTGGTTTTTGCCTTTTGTATAGAAGCGGCGCAAATGTTAATACGTTATGTAGGGGAGATAACTGTTACTGTAGACTGAGGAGCAAAAGAAACTACATGAATACATCTCAGTTCATTTTATCTAATGTTTGAGTTTCATTTGAAAATATCTTAAGTAGGCCATGTGGTATCCCAAACATGATCTGTGCTGGTGCTTTGTCGGCACTCAGTGAATACATCTACGTGGTTTGATTTAATCAAACTTATTCTCATAATACACAACTGCTCGCGGGTATCTTATATTCCATTCACATGCGCCTCTATACAAATGTGTGTATATGTGCATACGTTTATAGAAATACATACGTGAGTATACTCGTCATGTTAACGCGTTTACTCATGTGTGCATATTTACACCAGGACCAAATTTGCATCATGTCTGGAGCAGGTGCAAATGTAAATGTAAATTTGCACTGTGTGTATATGTTGCAATGTGAACGTTTATGTTAACGTAAGAGGATGATCTAATTAATATCTGTTCTTTTGCCAACACCAAACAAATTGTCAACAGTTGCCAACTTTTGTGCGTATATACAGAGTTGAGCGGACTGTGTTTTCTTTTAGTTTCAGGGACTTGAGTTCAAATTAAATAAAACGCATGTTGCTTCACGCGAAATCTTTTGGTGAAGTAACTCTCTTCTCATTCAACTTTGATTGGAAAACAACCTGTTTTGTATGAAAGTCTTAAACCGACTGACGGATATGTTGATTTTCATGCGAACGCATAGTAAATTTACATATACACACGTATGTATAGTTACACATGTGCAAAATTACTTACGTAAGTAAATGTTGTGCATGTGAAAGGGGTAATTAGACACCGTGTCTTTGAGATCAATAAATTTGCTTTTTATGTTTATACATTTACATAGCCACACTGACCATGTTGGAGATGCGCACACTGCAAAATATAACCGCTCGCATTCACCTGATATTGGTGATATCCTTTGTCGCTTTGTAAACCACGTCATAAAAATGTTTATAACCAGCAAAATGATATTTATTTTAACTTTGAATTTTTGTCATAACTGTAAGTACTATTTTATATCAGCATGGCTTGTGTTCACGTTATGAGTATTAACACACATGCAACTCTAACTACATTCTTCCAACAGATATTAGAAAGTCACCATCTGTGATCAGCTGGACGTTCAATGTGATAAGCGCAATATACATGTATATAACACGTCGTCTTAAGAATTGTGTCAGGACCTAATCGAGTAACTGATGAGTCTGCTTCACACTTGTTAAATCCTGATCAATATACATATACATTATATGTATATCCATGTCACACACACTCAAAACTGGAAACTGAACTTTTATAGTCAGTTAACTCTCTTGTTCAGAAGGCAAATAAGGCTCTGTTCGTTGTTAAGAAATTACAGCATTGTTTGAAAAACATACCCGTACATATACTTTTTAAAATGTTTGACAGTCAAATTAAGCCTGTATTATTATACACTTCAGAAATATGGGGCTATTAAAAAATTGCAGCAATTGAAAAAATTCAGATTAAATTCTGTCAATTTACTATTGGAATTGGAAGTCATGTTACAAATATTGCTGCCCTTGGCGAATGTGGTAGATATGGATTATTTATTGATTATCACAAGAGATGTATTAAATATTGGTTGAAATTGTTATCTTTACCCAGTTGTCGATACCATAAGCAATGTTATTTAATGCTGAAATCTTTAGATGAAGTTAATCGCAATACATGGGTAACTTGTGTCAAAAGATTATTATTCAGTTATGGATTTGGCCACGTGTGGATTTCGCAGGAAGTTGGTTATGAGACCCTCTTTATTAATGCATTTATTCAAAGGTTAAAAGACTGTAACCAACAGGACTGGTATTGTAAAGTTTGTGAAATACGTAAATTATCAATGTATAAGGAATATAAGTCATTGCTAACAGTTGAAAAGTATCTCTGTGAAATCACAAGCCGTCATTATAGACGTATGTTTTGTTTGTTAAGAGTTGGCGAGTTGCCATTGATGGTAAATTTAGGTAGAAGATGCGGTATAGAGTACTGTAATAGGCAGTGCAGATTTTGTAATTTACAGGAAATTGAAGATGAGTTTCATTTTATGCTTGTCTGCCCATGTTACAGATGTTTAAGAAATACCTATTTATTTCTCTTCCAATCCTACTTTATTTAAATATATTACACTATTATCTTGTAACCGCACTAGTATTGTAACTAATTGTGTTAAGTATATACTGGAAGCACTTGCAATCCGAAATACTGTCACTTAATACCCTCTGTCATCTGCCTCATACTGTATTTTTCAATGAGTATTTGTACGTGGGCCTATGGCCTTTATACTGAAATAAAGAATTGAATTAACTCTCTTGCCTCGGGAAGATGCACACACTAAGAACATTTCAACATTTGTACATGAATGTTAGTCAGCAGTTAGTGAGAGTTTATTTATGCCTAGTCAGCAATTTGAAGCTATTGCCGTCTATTACAATTCTAATTTTATATAAATAGTGCTTGCGTTCTTTCTAGAAATACAAAAGAATGGTGACATAGGTACACTTTTATTCCAAAGGCTTGTCGCGGCAGTGGTGTGTCGTTGACCTGCACAAGTCTTCTTAAATCTACTTTTTTATCTCCAATGCTGAATTTCTCCTAGTAGGTGCTTTTATGATTTGCCTCTCTTCAGTTGTGTTTCGTTCATTAAATACGAATATTAATATGACTTTGGCGTTTTGAAATAGCATGTCGCTGAATTATTTTTCCTTTCAAAATGCACGTTCGCTCTGCAGGGTTGGGTCATACAATCATTGGTTGAAACTCACCATAGTTATTCTTCTTGGGTTTTCATCACCATACCCGTTCTTGTGGGGATTTCACACATTTAGATAACAGATTACTGAAATACGGTCCCACTCACACATATCGCATCGCCAAGCTTTCAATGTGTGCTCTAGCTAGAGTTAGAAGCAATCTTTTTCGGCTTCAGCACAAGACTTC